TCACTTAGGAGTTTAACAGAAAAGGGAATGGGAAGCGTAGAAGGGAACTAAACCAACTGAAGGTTCACTGGTCACGCCTGAAGTCATCGATCACTGATTTCAATGACGCTTGGACTAAGATAACTCAAATGCATACAAGCGGATACTCCGATGACATGCTAGAGGAAGAGGCACAGAAGATATATGAAAACAGGTTTGGAAAGCGTTTTTCGTTGGTGCATTGGTGGAAGATATTGAAAGAGGAGCCCAAATGGTGTGCACAATTTGAGAAAAAAGAGAAAGACAAGACTAACATAGTTGATGTTCCGTAAGAAACGATCCACGCCCCATTGGTAGAGAAGCGGTGAAGGTCGAAAGCTTGATGAAAAGCATAAAAAAGGATAATGTTATGGAAGGAATTGTCATCCTTGGGACACTATTGAGAAAATTATCAAGGTGCAGCAAGATCGGAAGGTGGAGTGTGAAAAGGTTACGAAAGCACAAATTCAGATATCAAACGCAAATTTGAAGGCAGCAAAGGAGGAAAAGCAAGCAAAGATGTTTCAGGTTTATAATTCCCTGCTCAATCAAGATACAAGTCACATGTCTGAAGTTCAAAAGGCTAGCCGAGAGAAGGCATTAGATAAGCTTGAGGAAAAGTTATTTGCGGACTGACGATGAAAAGGCCAAGGTTAGTTCTAAACTGAAATACCTTAGTTATGGCAGTTCTGTGAATGCTGAACTATATTTATTAAATATCTAGTGGATTTTGAATGTTGTACTATGTTTATCAATATCTAGTGGACGCATGGCAGTTTCACATCTAGTGGCAATGCAGCACTATATATGTGTGAATGCAGCCCTATGTACGTGTGAATGCTGCACTTGCTAGGCAGTTTCACATCTAGTGGACGCATGGCAGTTTCACATCTAGTGGACACATATGAACCTATATATAGACAGAAAGGCCTTCTCTCTTTCTCTTCTTCTGGCATCGAGTTCTATAGATTCTAGTGCACAGCTTTGAGGTAACTTGTCATCTTTGAACTTTCTGCGACGTCTCTTTTCCTCACCTCTTGTATTCACTTTTTTTTCTCTTATGCAAAGATGTCTGAGGGAAATGACAACCTTGATGGAAGTCAAAATCCTCTGAACTCGTTGGATGAGTTCCTTGCTGAGGGTCAGATCATAGATGATGTTCTCAATGAAGCCACGGTGGTCATACAGTCCACCATCGAAGGTCTTCAAAAACAGGCTTCTGACCATCGATTCAATCCGAGGAAGCACATCAAGAGGCCACGAGAGGAAGCACATCAAAAACTAGTGAATGATTATTTCTCAGAAAATCCTCTTTATCCTTATAATATTTTTCGTCGAAGATTTCGTATGTCTAGGCCACTTTTTCAACGCATCGTTGATGCCTTGGGCCAATGGTCTGATTATTTTACTCAGAGGGTCGATGCTATTAATCGGCAAGGGCTCAGTCCACTACAGAAGTGTACTGCAGCTATTCGCCAATTGGCTACTGGTAGTTGTGCAGATGAACTAGATGAGTACTTGAAGATAGGAGAGACTACTGCAATGGAGGCGTTGAAGAATTTTGTCAAAGGTGTTAGAGAAGTATTTGGTGAGAGATATCTGAGGCGCCCTACTATGGAAGATACTGAACGTCTACTCAAACTTGGTGAGAAACGAGGTTTTCCTGGAATGTTTGGCAGCATTGACTGCATGCATTGGCAATGGGAAAGATGTCCAAATGCATGGAAGGGTCAGTTCACTCGGGGTGATCAGAAAGTGCCGACGTTGATTCTTGAAGCTGTGGCATCACATGATATTTGGATTTGGCATGCGTTCTTTGGAGTAGCGGGTTCTAACAATGATATTAATGTTTTGAATCAGTCTACTGTATTTATCAATGAGCTAAAAGGACAAGCTCCTAGAGTTCAGTACATGGTAAATGGGAATCAACACAACATTGGGTATTTTCTTGCTGATGGAATATACCCTGAATGGGCAGTCTTTATTAAGTCAATACGACTCCCTATCACTGAGAAGGAGAAGAAGTATGCAGAAGAACAAGAAGGGGCAAGAAAGGATATCGAGAGAGCCTTTGGTGTATTGCAGCGTCGATTTTGCATCTTAAAACGACCAGCTCGTCTATATGACCGTGATGTACTTCGTGATGTCGTGCTAGCTTGCATCATACTTCACAATATGATAGTTGAAGATGAGAAGGAACCAGACATTATTGAAGAAAATCTAGATCTAAATGTGCCTCCTAGTTCATCAACCGTTCAAGAACCGGAATTCTCTTCGGATCAGGATGTTCCGTTAGAGAGAGCTTTAGAAAAAGATACTACTATTCGAGATCGATCGGCTCATCGCCGACTTAAGGATGATTTGGTAGAACATATTTGGAATAAGTTTGTTGGTCATGTACATACTTCTGGTACTTTGTGACTATCTTTTGCATTATTGGTTATCTATTGTAGTTAGTTATCTAACCTTAAGAATTTAACTGCACTTCATTTGTATTTTATATGTGATATTTGTGATCTGATCCTGCACTACTGAATTCTTCTGAGAGCTCATGTTGAACTGTTTTTTTGTTTCTGCAGGATGAAATCAAGGCTGAAGGCTGACGGCTATCTGATCCTGCACTACTGAAGGCTATCTGATCCTGCAGTACCCAAGGTTATCTGTCTTGTGAGAAGAACCAGTGAGAGGTCGTTTGCAAGGCTGAAGGCTATTTAATTTTTTTTCTATCTATCTAAGTTTATTACTATCTTTAGTTCTAGTGCATGCTTGAAGGCTATCTGAGTTTTGTTTCTATCTTAGTTTACTATCTTTAGTTCCAGTGCATGCCGAACTGCTTTATGCGAATGCTGAAGTCTTGCTACTCGTCGTATGTTATCTATGACTATCTTCAGCATATCTATGGTTTAATAGGATATATGATCATGTTGATATCAGCCGATTTATTTGATTTGGTCACTTGGTACTCAGTTCAGAGTAGCTGATGGTTGTGTGCACATGACGCTTGTCATTCTATTAACAAAATGCTTGTTCAGAGTACCTGGGGTGCAGTTATCTCTCTTGTCGAACTGATGGTTGGTCACCTGGTGCTTGTATGTGCATCCGATTGAATCTGTGTCTTTTTTGTTCACCGTCTCAGTGATGGTTGGTGCTGCCGGCCTGAATGTTTGTTGCTATTTAACTGATGGTTGTTGCCGAGTAGAAATGGCTACACGATTATAGAGTGCATATGATCCCAACAAACTGCAGCAATTAAATGCTTTTCTTAGCCTTGGAAACATCAAAGTGAAACGCTGCGTTGTTGGGGTTGTTTCATAGATGGTTTCATTTGAGTCTTTATGACGTTTTAATTTTGGAAACTGTGCAATGACACTAGCCATTGAGACTGGCCTTACAACACAGTGCATAAAAGTTTTACAAGAATGTTTAAGGCCAGTCACAAGATTGCCATATCATCATATAAAACCAAATGTAATATAGATAAAACACTCACTCTTAATGAAAAATTTCATTATATAGTTTAATAGACATTTAATTTCATGACTTATAGGGAGTTGGTAATCGTGGCAACAAAAGAGTTTCATCCCCCATAAAACTCACTTCTTCTCACTCTTCTTAAAAACGTTGTCAAAATATCAAGAACGCATATGTGACGGTCTATTAAATACAAACGAAACTTTGATAAAACTCCTGTTGAGACCGGCCAAAGTTTTGTGTTAAGTTCACGAGGTTTGGCAGCGGAATGGAAGGTCAATCATCGCTCGCGCATAGTGTTATCATACTAGTACTACAATAATACGTAATAACAAAAAAACATATTAGGAAGTTTCGTTCAAAAAAAACATATTAGGAAGCGATGCGGTGCTCATGAAGGAACTTCGCTGCGAGTTGCCGGACTGATTTCGAATTTTTAAATTTAAGAAGGGGCGGAAATGGTCATTCGGTAGTTTTTCTCGACCTGACTTGCAGTTCGAGGGAGTTCCATCGATAAGCAGCTGAAATGGAGGCCAAAAGCGAGACGGCCAGATCGAGCTTTCTGCAGGCGTGGCGGTGAATGAAAAGAGTCACAAATCACAAGAGGAATTTTTGGGTTTGCTTTTTAATTATTGGCACAAGAAAGACGGATTCGTGAGATTTATATATCATCAAAAAGGTAAAATGGGAATGAGATTTCCCCTTTGTATAAATAAATAAATAAATCGACACCGAAAGATACAGACCAGCAAGTTCCCGGACCATCTTTACGTTATTCCAGTGAAACCATGGCGTCGTAGTGGCGCTAACAGCACATCGTGTTAAGCTTAGAAACGTCCTTTGCCCGATCCGTCACTTGCTATCTACTCCTACATAGAAAGTATATATACCAAACAACAAAGACGTTTGCTTCCTTCTTTATTCTCCTTCGAGTAGGATCGCAATTCGCAAGAAAAGAAGAGGAAAACGCTACCACCTCTTTTTCCCTCGTCATAACTGCCGCTGAAAATTTAGGTTCATGGCATCGCTTCAATTGCCACTATCATCATCATCTGTCTTTCTTAGGGAACAGTTTCATTGCAACATAGGGTTCTATACTCATGAAAACATACTCTACAGCACCAACAAAAAAAAGGTTAGTTTTGGAACTGCTGATTGTGAACCCACAGACCACAACGTAGGTTTCATTTCTTTTCCTAAAAAAAAAGGTTTCATTTCTTTTGACTTTTTAGGTCAACAACACGGTATAGTTAACTTGAGGAACCTCCATCAAGAAAATGCCACCAACACTTTTTCGCCGTTAGCTTTCCGTGTCAGCCACCAAATGGAGAGAAAAGAAACTTTGGCGTGCTTTTTCTGAGAAAAGAAAATTTGGTAGTGCTCGGCATATATATATCTATATTATATATATGCAGTGCGAGAGAGACCGGTGGTTCCTTCGAAAGAAATCTGTGCTGTTGAACTTACTGGCATCTGGCTGTACTCATGCCGTCTCTCTCACTCACTGTTGCTCAGCGCTTTTGCTCCGCCCATTGCTGCCCTTCGAAGAACTGACCGAGAAGTTGGTCCACCGCTTCCGGGCTGTACCGAACGTACTTCTGCGGGTTCTTGTTGTTCTCCACAAGATTGCTGCAAAGTCACAAGGATACTACAGTCACATCTTACTAGCACTGCTAGTTGCAGGATGTAGCAAATTACTGGCAATAGAAGGCATTCCATGTTCTAGTAAAAGAACAGGAAAACTACTGTCTTAGCAGCCGACTAATGAAATTGTTTGATGATGTACCCAAAGCGTTTGATAAAAGATCGATAGGCTGGCAACAGGACTTCGGCTACAGCAAGCCTCAAGGATTCTCGCAGCTCTTGATCAGGTACGATCCATTGTGATTGCTTCGCGTGGAGCTCTTCGAATTGCGTATTGAAAGACTTAAACCTGACAAGGCAAAAGACATTGGAGGGTTATTGATTTCTGTTGTTGCGTAAGACAGTTAAAAACGTTTTGCCTCCAAGCACTCACCGTTCTTTGATCGTGGCTCTTGAAACACCACTGCTGGTCAGGTCACCGCTGCTGCCCGCGCCTTGAACAGAAAGTGTCTGAAGAATCTAAAATAGCAGAAGCAGAGCAGCCACAATCAAGTGCAATTCTATATGTAACTGTGTACGATAATGCAATAATACATTAATACATAACAAACATGCTAACTGATGTATCCAAAACTCCAATGAACATTAAAGAATGCCTTGCCAGGTAAAGGAAAACTATAAAAACGCCTACAAACATTAAGTCCACGCCAGCTCAGCATTGCCACACATTTTGCTTTACTAAATATAAAATGGCATGTGTGTGCATAAAGTTTCTTAATAGTGGATGTACAAGAGGGACTTTCGGACATTACAATTTCTGATGAATTGAAGGGTCAGACCATACTTAATAGAGATCTACTTTGTAAGCTCAGCCTAACTTCACAAAAAATTCTAACTGCAGCAAATGTATCATGTATAAGGAGCGATATTGTACCCTCATTATGATTTATGATAGATTGAACAGGTATACATCCATGCTGTATTCACAGAGTGATAGCCACTAAAGAATATTGATTAAACAGCAGTCTGATCAAGACAAAAAAGATACATTCCCTAAAGAGGGCCAAAAGGGGATTGCACATCTAACATCATGCAGCCAAACAAAAAAGCAATATGTCATGCACGATCCTTGAAGATTTAGCCGATCCACTAACCTTTGCCCAAGCAACGCGTTTATACTGATTGGCATTTTGCTGCACAATCCTGCGATGTCTCTGAATCCAGTCATCACCAAGTATATCTTTTGCTTCTGATCTGAGGCAACAAAAGAGATCATTAAATGAACAGGCTATCATAACATAATACGAAACAGGTCTTGTAATAAACACAGACATACCTGCGAACAGATCTAACCATATAGTGGATATTGTTCATAAGAAATAAGTATGTCAATGCAGGATCCTTATACTGTTTAGATTTTCCATCTAGGTTATTCTGTAGGGCCTGCATTATCCTTGTGGTAACAGCAGCAAGCTGAGATTCTGCCTCAGTGCCACTATCAAATTCCTGAAATAATAGCTTCAATGTTGACTGGTAACTGTTCAAATCAGAGTAACATTTGTTATGCATGAAATTTCAGAAACAACAACAGGAAAAGAATAAACAAATGCGACATTGCTTCATGAGTAAATGAAAAATACAACTAATTCATAACCAGATAAATTCTAGAATCTAGAAAGTGCCCAAGTTTGTTAAGAAAAGCAAGATCAAAAGATGTTATAAATAGCTTCGTATAGGTATTACAGCCTATAGGCTGAACTTCCCTGATTCAAATTTGTTCAAAATCTTATTCAGTATTGTGGTACAATTTTGTTTCCTAAACGAACCAGCCTGTTAATATTAGCACTTGGAAATCCTTTCTACTTCATCAAAAACTATGGTCTTGAGAAGATCAGAAGCATAAAGCCAAGCATAAAGCCCCATAAGCCACAGTTAAAATAGTGTTATTAACAGTAGGTTAGTCAAACTTATGTGATCAACAATTTTACATGTCCATAGATTCACAACCAATATGAGAAAGGGAATACTTACTCGAATAGGAATTTAACATAATTAATCACATAGCTAGTCAAAGGATGGACTGTTCCGTCCTGAACAATAGTTTTTGAAGCATCTTTTTCAACTGCCTCCTCAAAATCTGAAAATGTTTCCTGAGCAGTCTGTGCCAATCGCTTTGTTAAGCTTGATGCAGCTTCACGCATCTCAGTGCAAGGTTTGCCTTCAAATATTTCCTCAATCTGATAAAAACAAGGGATCAAGCAAAGGTAGTATTGACATCTTTGTAATCATCATCAATATCAAATAGTTTAGAATCACAGCAACATAGAAAAGTATGTAAAATTTGGGTAGTGGCCTCTATGAGGTACTTCCAGAATACCTCTGGTTGAAGTTCACGCATTACTTCATACATGTCGAGCAACACAAACAGCTTTTCAGGGGACCTTTTGCTTTTAGCAACAGCATCTCCAAAGCTGAAAAGAGTTATAATACTATTTGCTGTCAGTTCAGCAAAACAATGGCCCTTGTTAAAGTTGACACCATCAAAAATCTGATCACAGATTTTTCTTTCCCCTGCTAGTAATAATTTGACCTGTTTGAAAAGCATAACATTGTTAACTTGATGCTGAAATGGACATACATAACATGAGTACATTTTAAGAAGGATCCTCACCGCAATTAAGCATAAAGTGTATCCAGTTTCCAATTTTAGCCTCCAAAGCCTCCCATTGCATTTTTTGCACATCATCTTTGGTAAGCTTTTCCACTCCTAACTTCCGAAGGCTCACTTCTAGTGCTGAAGCACGGGAATCTCTGAAGGAAAAGGGGGGAAATAGATTGAATTATTAAAAAGAATCAAGTGTTAAAATCCCTATTCAAGGACAGAAAGTGCCATCGAGAAGGAACGAGCTCAGAATAAATGTAAAACAATAATAAAGACAACCAAAGCCTACCTGTAGATTTTGTAGCAAGTTTGCTGATTTCCAGCCTGAACCAACTGTTGAGCTATGTCATTCATGAGAGGCAATATTCTGGGAGGAATTAGTGTTGGGGTCCTGTATACGGCAGTCTCCAAGCCTTTGGATGGATGATCAGAACGGCCGCCTCCATCGGCCTCGTGATCACCTTTTGTTGGCCGCAGAGACTTGGGTAGACAGTCAAACAGGCGATCTGGCTCGATAGGTTTGCTGAAAAGAAAAGAAAACGACAATCAACACATTTTTTTTTAGGTAAGAACAACTTCAGGCCTCGGCTTCACTAGAAGAACACAGTGGTAAGTTAACTGTTCTTTTGCCATTATATGGAGGGAAATAGATGATGGAGACCTTCATGAGTGGGCCTCTGCATCACTAGATGCACCAGCCATAAGTTAATGGCCTTACCTGTATGTACCCATCAGCTGCTTAAATTCCTCTTCAATCTTCAGAGTAGACTTAGCTAACAGATTGTTGACATGATTCAGAACTCCTTCACTGCTCTTGAAGTTCTTATTCGAGGAAAAGAAGCGAATGATGCCTTTCAGCACATCCACTGCCTCCAGGTAGCTCTCCAAATCCTCATGGGGACCCCTCAATATGGTTGCCTCAGCCTAAAGCACGAAAGAAAAAAAAAACCACACAAACTAAGGGAAGATGCGAGAATAGCAACATTTGAACTCGAAGCCTGACCAGAAGCCAACAACATTAACTTGCAGGATTACTATACTTTCAATGCAAGGAGTTCAGTTAGCCATCAATTTTACAGTTCAAGATGATTTTTTACAAAAACAGCATCCCATTCAAAAGAAACATTATAATTATGGTAACTCATTATGGTAACTCAATCTTTAATCTCATAAATGGTAAAATTATCACTGACCAGATTACCCTAAATAACATAACCTTAAATAAACAGGAGTAATATCCTTCCATTCGAGAACAGTCATTCTGTATCAATTATTCCTGCATTGAGCTTAATTAACCGCACATACAGCTTAATCGTGTTAACCAAGACTAATTAGCTCCGTCCCTTATTACAGCACAAAGCACCTGCCCGTTTGCACATTCAATTGCCCTCAGATCCACACAATGGCCACAAGAAAACATATGCAATTCACCCCGATTTCAGCTAAAGGACTAGCGTTCTGACTTCTGAGAGAGGATGAACGAACGCACCCGGCGGGCGAGGTCGAACTGGGAGAGGATGCCGTCGGCGGCCTTGATGGTCCGGTCGATGTTCTCGTGCGCCGTCCGGATCGCGTGCGTCCTCACCTGCAACCCCACCACCAAGCACAGAGGGACACCGCCATCCCCGCCTCAAATTTCATTCCATCCAACGAAACGAAGGCGCGACGCGTTCGAAATGGTGGGGAAGGAGACGGGGCGAACCTGGGTGGGGCGCATGGCGGCCTCGAGCGCGGAGAGGCGGTGGTCGAAGGAGCCGAGGATGGCGACCATGCCGTCCGTGTTCCCCTGGCTCCGCCGCAGCGAGTCCCGCAGCATGGTCGCCCGCCGCGACAGCGCGTCCATCGCCTGCGGCAGCGCCGCCACCGCCATCGAGGACGTCGGATCAAGCGCGGGCACTTCTCTCGGGAGAAGGCCGGGGAGATCTCGGCAGTCGGCACCGAGAGGAGAGAATGCGCCGAGGGTCAGGGCGGCTTTGGCCAGTGGACGCGCCCTGATGGAAGAGCGGACCGTGCGGCGCCTCGATGGTCTATGGGAAGCGACGATTCGGTGGCGGTGGCGGTGCCGTGGTGGTCGGCGACGCGTGGTGTGTCGCCGTGGACGACGGAGGGAGGGCAACAAGGAGGAAGAGGCGAACGCCCCCGCGAGATTCGTGCGTGCGTGCTGACCGTTGACCCCGCGGACGGCTCGGATCGCAGGTGGCTCGTCGGCGCGGTGCGCGGATGTGGACGCGCCCGTCGTGCACGGGAAGGGAAGGGAGCAGCCGGTGGGCAGGGCGGTGGTGGTGGTCTCGTGATGCGTTCCGTGCGAGAGCGGGGAAGCGCGGGACGGAGGCAACGGAACGGAACGGACGGCTAGGATGGGCTCGGTCGGTGCGTGTAGCGGCGGGTGTAGGAGGCGGTGGGGTCCAGCTGTTGGTGTCGGCCGCTCGAACGTGGGGAGAGGCTGGGGCCAAGCTGATCGAGTTGTGTGGACCCGGTCCACCGCCGCGCGTTATCCGGTTCTGGATATTGGGATGCTTTTTTTGGAATTGCACCCTCAAGATTTGAACATTATTGTTCGCCTTTATGATACGGAAATGTAGGGCCCAGGGCCAGGGGAGTTGTCGCTCTCCAAACGTGCAGTGCACTGATCGTTTGGGAATGCATTGTGTGCCGTAGAGCCATTTGCTCCACAAATGTGCACGGTTAGTTATGGTCGTGACTTATGAGACATTTGCTTAGCTACCACTCTATAAACTTCGCACCGAGAAATTTGTGGGCCTTTGAACTAAATCCTTATAGTGAGTGAGGAAATAAAAAGAATCATAGAAGCGATATACTCCTTTTTGTTTCAAATTATAATACGTTTTGGTTTTCTACGTACATTGTTTTTACTATATATTTAAGTATAATGTATATCTAAGTGCAGGGCAAAAGTTATGTATCTAGAAAAAATAAAAATGTCTTTACAATTTGGAATGGAGGGAGTATGTAATATAAGGAGATGTTCATGACGAATTATTTTGTGACCAGAAGTATAATCACATGAGGATTCAGTTTAATTACACCGTCATAGATTACCTATGGGTTATAACACCCTTGGTGTTACACAGTGAATCACTTGCTAAAACATATCATGAGCATCATACTTAAGTGATATTGCATGTGGTGTGATGAATAGGTAAAGCATTGTAACTTAAACGGGTCGTAAAGACGTAAAACGAAAAGTTAATTCGTGATTTATCAAGATAGCAAGTAGGGATGTTAACTAATTTTTATTGAACAAAAACACTATAAAACATATATGTGACACCTTAATAAAGTTTGAAATGTGAGATTTGTAGATGACAATAAAATACTTGATAATGAGAGATAATGTTGTTAAGTACTATATTCAATAGCTTAAAAGTGCAACTAGAAATAGAAATCCATTTAACACTTAGAAAAATTCATGAACTTTTGGAAGGTTAGGCATTGTGATGTTTAGCAATTTTTTCAGAGAAATTGGGTTAAGGAGTAGGGTAGTATTATGGCTTGTTTTAGTAGCCTAATATACCCTCTAAGGTATAGCAAAAGTGGTTTGGAGAATAGATCAACGGGTTAGACGTTTCGAACGCTTTAAAACCCGTGCATAACATGAACTCGGGGCGTCTTCTCATGTTAGGCGCGGTCACCAGGCCGTCTAGCCCCGACGTCGCGGCGTCGGTGTGCTGGGCGCGCGAGCACGCGCACACATGGCCACGCTGGCCGGTTGCTGCTGCCGCAGCCTGGCCACGGTGGGCACGCCACTAGCCGCCAACCGCGAGCCGCCGCGCCCGCCGCTCACCTACGCCTGGCTGTCCTACCGCCGTGCCGCGCTGCTGTCGCTGCCGTCGCGTCGCCGCTGCTGTGGGCACCGCCCTCCTCGGGTCCTGCTGTGTGGTAGAACCGTCCGAAATAACGCACTTACGGAGACGCTTGTCTTCCACTAGAACCTAAGCACCCCGAGAGCGAGCTACATCGGGCGGATTACTTCGAGCACATCCCAAGAGAGAGCCCGAATAATCCACATTTTTTCTCAGCATCCAGTAATGATAACGAGTTTATATTACTTAGTCCATTTCATACATACAGAGTTCTTAGAAATATATTATTATAGTACTAATTTTAGAGTGCGAAAATTTAATAGCGGAATAAAAAAACATCTATCGATAATATACAAGGATCCGTCTGTGCCCACCAGAAGAATCCTTCACACAACGACTACTTCTCAAGCAGTACCTGCAACAGGGGTAAATAAACCCTCAGTACACAATATACTCGCAAGACTTATCTGACTAGTGGGAATAATTTTCCGACTCTAAGGGATATGATAAGCATTATGATTTGCTAGGTTTCTTTTTGCAGAAAGCAATACTAATAGTGAATCCTTATGTATGTTAATTATTAGCATTCATGATTGGTTCATTATCTAACCATTCTATGTAAGTACATGTTCTATTTTTAAGTAAGAGTTGAGCAAACAGTTCCATTTCACCACCTTTCCTCTTTTAGTTCTTACTACAGTGCTAGATTTCAGACAAGTCGTACCGGATCACCGGCGATTCACGAATCAATGTGCCCAGCTGCGTACCCCGAAACACACGCCCCGCTTGTACCCTAGGCACAAGCAGGACCAGCCCGCCACTCTCTTGTCACGGGGTCCAGGTTCCCATCCAAACTTGGACTCCAAACCCTCGCTCCTGAATCCTGGACTTAGTGCGGTGCTTAGACCTCCACCATCCCCGCCTCCAATTAGTCAGTCCAGAAAGAACCGAAACCCACGACAAGAGAGCAACAAGTCTTCCCTGTGCCCATACACAAGTATGTGCTCGGGATAATAAGTCTGTGACCTACCTAGAGTCCAATGCAACGGCCGGTCCATAACCGACACAGACAGGGAAACAGTGTAACCAAGTTATGCCCCATTGGCCGCAGCACACAACCTCTTACACCTACCAATACTCAAACCATATCCCTGCTCGGTCTCTATTTTTTCTTTCACCATTCTTATCATGAGTGATAATAATCACCTATTGTGAGTAACGACAGGTTACTCACGCTACCGAAATTCTAAGCATAGCAACTACTCGACCTATGCTAGTAGGACTCATGGGTAGATATATCTATGCATGTAGTTTTCATAAAATGCATGTAACATAAATGCACATCAAATATATATATTCAGATATAATTCAAAATAAGGGTTATGCACCGGGGCTTGCCTTGGGCAGGTGGGGTGTCAACAAAGTCAGCAACTAAAGGCTCCGGGGCTCCCTCCTGTACGAGAATCTCCTCCTCATACTCCTCGATGATCTCATACTTTTGCTCACCCACAGGCATGAACTCTACCAACTCGTTATCTACATGCATGAAATGATGATGCAACACTTAGTAATACGGCAACAGCAACTCTTAAAATAAGAATACATCTATCAAGCTACTAAGCTAGCTATACCGACTAAGACGCTAAGTTGCCTATCATTTTCATTAAACAGGTATGAAATATTTCATGTATTAACTTAGCAATTAAAGGCATTCTTACTCTTAATATCGATTTACTATATATATGATAAAACAAGGAGTATTAGCTACCCTATTTAACAACCTATTCTAAGGCTACAAAATTTACAGTGAGCACATAATAATACAATAAACCTACTGTAAAAATTTCATGGCTATATCTATTACCAATTTACCACAAAAATTTCTACAAATATTAAGCTAAATAATGCTAAGCTTCCCTAAATGAATTAATGAATCTATCGTTATCACATATAACTATAAACTAAATACACCAACAGATAGATCCCATTTTTGTGAACCTAACAATTTTTGTTTCACTATTTTTGGACACCTACAATATTTATTATAATTTTACAAAGATTAGCTCACAATTTAAATTAGAAAAGCATATACTAATTCCCTAGAAAAAGAAAACTGAATTCAACCCGCGGCCCATTACCTCGCGGCGCGACCCACGCCCACGCAGCGCGCGCACACGTGCAACCCATGCGGGCGTGGCCCAACCGCGCGACAACATCCCACGACGGGGAGGCCCGCGCGCGCCGACACAATTGCGAAAACATCCCTCCCCCTTTGCTTCTTTACAACGGCTAGGTCCCCAGGCACCCGCGCGCGCACCGGCGATGGCGCTGGGCGGTGATACCGGCCAACCTAGCCCCTCCCCGCCCCCGATAGCGAGCCGATGCTCACCTAGATGTAAACGCGAAGCGGTGGTGGCGAAGTGATGAACGGAGACGCGGTCCCGAGCTCCCTCCACGGCGGTGGACAACTTGTGGCGGCGGCAGCCATGTTTCCATGAACCAAGGCACAAATGAAGTGAATGACCCAAAGGATGGGCATTAGCAACTCACCCTGAAGCTACCTGTGGTGGTGGCTTGACTGGGGACATGCCGGGTGAGTCCGGCCACGTGCGCACGGCAAGCTCTGCGATGGGCGGCGGTGGCATGACCGTGTTAGCGGCGCCGGGAAGGCAATGGCGGTGAAAATGGGGTGTGCATGGGATGGAGGGGAATAGGGCGAAGACACAGTGCCACGGAATTGAATGGAGGTAGACGGTGCGAGGCAAAATTTGACGGGCGTTGCCGTTCGATCTTAAGGTGGCCGATGGCGGGGAATCTTCAAATTGAAGCTCGACTCGGTACAGCTATAGCAGTGGGCGAGCTTGGCGCGTAGCTAGGTTCCCAAATGCTCTTTTGGCATGCGCAATTACTAGGATTGGACCGACGCTGCGAGTTGGCCTTGGCGTGGCTTGGTGACGCCGGTGCGACGCCATTAAAGGCGGAGGTGGCTGGGGAGCGCAGAGTGGTGCATGCCACTCAATAGAAGCGGACAAGGGCACACAGAGGA